TCTCCTGCCCAGCCCGGTGCCACTGTGCCACGGGTGTCACAAGAGGTGTTGCATGGGGACAACGGTGGCATTGATTGCAACAGCCCCACGAGGCCCCTCAGCCTCTGCCCCTGCAGCAGGGAGGGACCAGGGCCAGCCCCAGCACCCCCACAGCCATGGGGCACTCCCGGGTTGGCCCAGGCCACTTGTGCCAGCAGCAGCAGCTGGGGCCTGTCCCACCCACCAGCACTGCTATAAACCCAGCGTCTTTGGGGCACTGCAGCATTGCCTGGCCCCAAGGGCATCTGGACACAGCCATTCCTGTGTCATCAGTGTCCACAGCACAGCTTCACTGTAGCAACATTTAAATCCTCCATTTTTCCATACATCCAATTCATTATTATCTTGTCTGCTGCTGTTTGCAGCACTGGAGAGTGAAAGAGCACAGAGGCCAGGCTGGAGTCACCAGCAGAACAAATGTTCATTTTTCTGTTTATCCCCTTGCACCAGAGAAAAGAAGGCTTTGGTTTCCTCTTCTGACACCTCAGACAATGATTCCCAACCCAGAGCTTTGTGTCATCCAGCCTTGTGTAAGGACCCTGCGGTGCTGTGGCTTGCTGGACACATGCAGGGGCTCAGGGACACATGCAGGGGCACAGGGACACATGCAGGGACACAGACTCAGACCCTGCTCAGTGCAAACCAGCACTGACCTGCTGCTGTGGCACAGAGTAGAAACTTTTCTGAGTGCCTTCAAAAAACCCTCCCAGTAAACTCACCATCGGTGATGTGCGCAGGCGATGCCTCTGCTTCTGCTGAGACACAAGAATCCCTCTCCCACATTTTTTATGATTGTCACCTTGTCACTGTGGCTTCACATCTCTGGATTGTGAAGCAGAAAAGGCCAAGATGTTCCACTTGCAAATCCCCAGAAGCTCAGCTCAGTTTGGGGGAACCAGATTGCTCAGCCAAACACCTGGAGAAGGAGCTGCCAAATTGTCCCATGGCACAGACCCTCCAGCCTGCCAAGGACTGTCACTTCTCCCAGTGGCATGGCTGGCATCAAACTCGCTGAATTCACAAGTGGTGGCTGCATCCAGCTTGTATTTCTTCACCTTGGTTGGCATTAGAAGGAGGAGCAGTTTTGTTGCATCTCCAGGTTCACAGAACTTGTCATCTATCCTGGCATTGCTCTCCATTTATCTGAAGAGTCACTAGAGAGAGCCCTGCTTATCCCCCTGACATGGCAGGTGCACAGACCTGCTGTCTAATAAGATGGCCTTGCAGTGTCCAAAGCTGTTTTCCATATTCTGTGAGATTTTGCACCCGCCTTGCCAATTGAAAATTCAATCAGAGGAGAAGAGACATAGGAAAAGGACAGAGGAAGAGGGAATGATTTCAAAAAGACATGGTGCAGCACTATATGGGATATTGGGAAGAAATCCTTCCCTGTGAGGGTGGAGAGGCCCAGGCACAGGTTGATTTAAAAAGCTGTGGCTGTGGCATCCCTGCAACTGTTCAAGGTTGGACAGGGCTTGGAGCAACCTGGGACAGTGGAAGGTGTCCCTGTCCATGGCAGGGGGTGGAATGAGATGATCTTTCAGGTCCATTCCCACCCAAACAATTCCAGATTCTATGAAAGAAGGATTCTACTCCCCCAGGACAGCACTGGTGCCTGTGCCTGAACCCACCAATTCCTGTGCCCATCCAAGGATTTCCCTGCTGGCCCCACAGCCCGGTGCCGCTGTGCCGTGGGTGCTGGACTCTACTTGTATGTCAGAAAGACGTGGATGGGGAACTGTGGACCTAGTGGCAAATCCTCATCCCTAACACAGCCTCAGCTTTGTTCCAAGGTTCCATCCCCAGTGACAGCTGAAAAACCTGTAGCAGGAGTCATTCCTTAATCACGATGCGGTGGAGGGATGTCATGGGAGACAGCATAGACATACAGAGAACTCACAGGTGAATCATGAGCTTGATAGCGGCAAAATAATTACCTGAACCAAAATGTTTGCTTTGTCTTCTTTCATCTGTATTATGGCTATATGGAAACCTGAGTATCCACAGCACAGCTTCACGGCAGCATCACTTATATTCTCCATTTTTCTGCATATCCAATTAAATTCCTTATTATTTTTCCTGCTGCTCCTTGCAGCATCAGGAGGGAAAGAGCACAGAGGCCAGGCTGGAGTCACCAGCAGAACAAAAGTTCCTTTTCCTGTTTCTCCCCCTGCACCAGAGAAAAGGAGGCTTTGCTTTCCTCTTGTGACACCTCAGACAAGGATTCCCAACCCAGAGCTTTGTGTCATCCCAGCTTGTTAAAGGCCCCTGTGGTGCTGTGTCCCTGTGTCCCTGTGTCCAGGGATACAGGGACACAGACCCTGATCACAGGACACCAGCACCAACCAGCTGCTCTGGCATTGAATGAAACCTTTTATGAGTCCTTTCAAGAAACCCTCCCAGTGAGCCCATCATCAGTAATGTGGTGGTGCCCCATCAGCAGAGGTTGTGCCTCTGCTTCTGCTGAGACACAAGAATCCCTCTCCCACATTTTTTATGATTGTCACCTTGTCACTGTGGCTTCACATCTCTGGATTGTGAAGCAGAAAAGGCCAAGATGTTCCACTTGCAAATCCCCAGAAGCTCAGCTCAGTTTGGGGGAACCAGATTGCTCAGCCAAACACCTGGAGAAGGAGCTGCCAAATTGTCCCATGGCACAGACCCTCCAGCCTGCCAGGGACTGTCACTTCTCCCAGTGCCATGGCTGGCATCAAACTCGCTGGATTCACAAGTGATGGCTGCATCCAGCTTGTATTTCTTCACCTTGGTTGGCACTAGAAGGAGGAGCAGTTTTGTTGGATCTCCTGGTTCACAGAACTTGTCATCTGTCCTGTGTTGCTCTCCATTTATCTGAAGAGTCACTAGAGAGAGCCCTGCTTATCCCCCTGACATGGCAGGTGCACAGACCTGCTGTCTAATAAGATGGCCTTGTAGTGTCCAAAGTTGTTTTCCATATTCTGTGAGTTTTTTCACACGCTGTTCCAATTGAAAATTCAATCAGAGGAGAAGAGACATAAGAAAACGACAGAGGAAGAGGGAATGATCTCAAAAAGGCAGGGTGCAGGACTATATGGGATATTGGGGAGAAATCCTTCCCTGTGAGGGTGGAGAGGCCCAGGCACAGGTTGCCCAGAGAAGCTGTGGCTGTGGCATCCCTGCAACTATTCAAGGTTGGACAGGGTTTGGGGCAACCTGGGACAAGAGGAAGAGGGAATGATCTCAAAAAGGCAGGGTGCAGGACTATATGGGATATTGGGGAGAAATCCTTCCCTGTGAGGGTGGAGAGGCCCAGGCACAGGTTGCCCAGAGAAGCTGTGGCTGTCCACCAGTTCCTGTGCCCATCCAATGATTTCCCTGCTGGCCCCACAGCCCGTTGCTGCTGTGCCGTGGGTGTCACAAGAGGTGTTGCATGGGGACAACGGTGACATTGATTGCAACAGCCCCACGAGGCCCCTCAGCCTCTGCCCCTGCAGCAGGGAGGGACCAGGGCCAGCCCCAGCACCCCCACAGCCATGGGGCACTCCCGGGTTGGCCCAGGCCACTTGTGCCAGCAGCAGCAGCTGGGGCCTGTCCCACCCACCAGCACTGCTATAAACCCAGCGTCTTTGGGGCACTGCAGCATTGCCTGGCCCCAAGGGCATCTGGACACAGCCATTCCTGCTGGCTTTGCTGCTGCCTGAACACCTGTAGAAATACCCAACTTTGTTTACCCACATGAAATAAGCTGAATCTCTTGGCATCTCTGCCCAGCCCAGGTCGTCTGGAGTGACAATGCTCTGCTCCATCAATGGCAGGGGCCTCTCCCTGTGTACAAAGCATACCTCAGGAATTTGATTCCCTGCCTTGTTCAATACTCGTCTGTGTCCATGTACATGGTTGTATGGAAGCAGCGGGCGACATTGTCTAGTTCACTGGAGGCTTTCCCTCTCAAGAATCATACTAATATCATTTCTGATGATGAAAAACACCTCTAAGAATATACAGAACAACAACTCACCCAGGACTACCAACCCCAACACTAAACCACGCACACAAGTGCCACATCCACTCAGCTTTTAAATTCCCTGCAGGAATGGTGACTCCACCACTGCTCTTGGCAGCATGTCCCAAACAACCATCACCCTTTCTGCAAAGATATTCTTTCTCATATCCAGTTGAATACTTCCCTGGTGCACTTTGAGACCGTGTCTTCTCATTCTGTCAATTGCTACCTGGGAGAAGAGACTGACCCCAAAAATGTCTGCGCTACCATTGCTTTCCAGACCTGGAGGATTTGGTGATGGATGTTCAGACGATCCCTGCCTACCTTGGCTTCTTCTTCAGCTCTGGTCACCTGTCCTGGCACTGACTCTGGGGCTGTCACCTCAAGCTCCCTTTCCCTCAGCAGTGAAGTGCTGCTGCCCCACCCCAGGGGCTCCTTGGCCCAGAACATCTGGAGCCAGACTGATGGAGGTGTGGAAAACAAGCTCAGGGCTTACCAAGGGCACACAGGGGTAACTAAAGGGGAGAGAGAGTGAAGGAAATTTTATTTTCTCCATCACATTTGCAAACTCCCCAAAAGAGCTGTTGGTGTGAAATGAGTGGCAAAACTTTCCACTCACTGTACAAACTTGAGCAATATTGCAATATTCAGTCAGATCTTCCACATCCCACTCTCAGTATAGAACAGAAAAACAGGGAGATCACAAGGAGGGAATCCATTTCCTCATTTCTACTCTTCCCAACACCAACCGCCTCTCTTGTCCATCCCATCCCTCTCCTGCCCAGCCCGTTACCGCTGCGCCGCGGGTGTCACAAGAGGTGTTGCATGGGGACAACGGTGACATTGATTGCAACAGCCCCACGAGGCCCCTCAGCCTCTGCCCCTGCAGCAGGGAGGGACCAGGGCCAGCCCCAGCACCCCCACAGCCATGGGGCACTCCCGGGTTGGCCCAGGCCACTTGTGCCAGCAGCAGCAGCTGGGGCCTGTCCCACCCACCAGCACTGCTATAAACCCAGCGTCTTTGGGGCACTGCAGCATTGCCTGGCCCCAAGGGCATCTGGACACAGCCATTCCTGCTGGCTTTGCTGCTGCCTGAACACCACAGCCTTTGTCAGGGAGGTGAGTGTGGGGTCTCTTTCCAGAATTCTGCACACTCAGGGTCCTGCTTGCCCCCATTGCTTTTGTTTCCCCATTTGCAGCCCTGCGAACCCTCGGAAGAGGTAGCAGCCATGAAGATCCTGTTCCTGCTCTTCCCCCTGATCCTCCTGTTGGTCCAGGGTGATGCAGGTGAGAAGGGAAAAGGGGAAAAGAGTGAAACTGTAAGCACCCAGCAGTGGGAATTCAGTGTCCCTGGAAGTGACCATGTTTGTGGGAATGATGAGAATGTAACAGGGGACTGGGCTCAAAGGTGTTTCCTGAGTGAGTTTCCAGATGGACACTGACTCTGGGTGGAGAGAGCCCATGGAAACAGAATCCTGGCTTGTTCTGTGGGTCAGGAACATGGAAAGTGACAAATCCCTGCCTGCCAGTCCTGCTGGTGCAAGCAGTGGTGGGAATGCAGCTGGGCACAAGCACAGCTCTTCCTCAATCTTATGCTGGTGTTTTCTACTCTCTGTTCTGGTGTGCCTCCAGTTTAGGGGGACAGGGACCTTCCAGGTGAGACACATTGCAAGTGGAAATGTGGCTGTGGCGGGATTGGTTCTGAGCCCTTCTCTTGGCCTGAAATGCACCAGTACCTGAGGGCATCAGCCTGTCTATAACCAGAGTCTGACCACTCAGATTATTCCTTTAATTATTCCTTGTGTCTTTCCCCATGGGAACAGGCAATGCAGCTGCATGCCGGTCAAAACGGGGAATCTGCATCAAGCATTATTGCCCCAGCGGTTCATATCGTGTTGCGGGAAGATGTTCACGAGGCTTTGCGTGCTGCAAAAGGTAAGGCCCAGATCCTTGGCTGAAGAAAGATTTTCCTCTTTTTTCCTCAGAAAGATCTGTTTAGCAACACCTTTCTAGACAGCACATGATCTATACTGTCCAGCATTTATGCTGTGAGAGAGATGCTTAAGAAAGGGAAAAATAGTCCTTGAAGGTTTGATCTCCCCTCACTGGGGCTGCAGGAGCCCAACGTCAGCCAGGGCCTCCCCACTCTCCCAAAGTCCCCAGGGCCTCATTCAGGCTCTGCAAAGGACTCACCAAAGCCACCAAAAAGTGAAGGGTTCACGGTCCTGGACGGCACAGAGGACATGATCCAGGTCTGGCTGCATCTGCACAGAGCTGGAGACAGGGCTGCCAGCACTGAGATAGCCCAGCTCCAACCTGTCTGCACCAAGGACTGCACAAGGTCCTCCCCTGACCCTGACTCTGCTGCACCACACCCTGGGCATTGCAGGGCAGGGGACAGAGTGGCAGGGAACAAATAACAAAAGAACACTCCCCAACACAAGGAAAGAAAAGAAACCAGGCAGTGCTGTGGAGGGCGCTGAGCTTCTCTTGCAGACTCCGGGAGTCCTGGACATCCCGGGTCAGGTCCGGAGCCGGTCCAGTATCTTCGGGGGAGGGTAAGAAAGAGGGAACGAAAGAAAAGGAAAAAGAAAATAAAACAGCGCAGAAAGCAGAAAGCAGCAAAAAAGCAGCTATCAGCTAGGAGCCGAGGCAGGAGCAAGCAAGCAAGCAAGCAGTGGCAAGCCAAGCCAAGCAGCCCAAAAGCAAAAGCCAAGGTGTCCGGTCACACTCACCCCTCCCTCCCCGCCCCGCCGCGGCAAGACGGCCGGGGGGAGGAAAAGGTGCAGCTGCCAGACACAACACACGATATTGGGATAAAGGCTGTCACCCCACAACACTGGGAGAAGAGATTGAATGCAAAAAATATTTGCACTACCATTGCTTTCCAGACCTGGATGATTTCGTGATGGATGTTCAGATGATCCCTGCCTACTTTGGCTTCTCCTTCATCTGAGGTCACCTGTCCTGGCACTGACTCTGGGGCTGTCACCTCAAGCTCCCTTTCCCTCAGCAGTGAAGTGCTGCTGCCCCACCCCAGGGGCTCCTTGGCCCAGAACATCTGGAGCCAGACTGATGGAGGTGTGGAAAACAAGCTCAGGGCTTACCAAGGGTACACACAGGGGTAACTAAAGGGGAGAGAGAGTGAAGGAAATTTTATTTTCTCCATCACATTTGCAAACTCCCCAAAAGAGCTGTTGGTGTGAAATGAGTGGCAAAACTTTCCACTCACTGTACAAACTTGAGCAATATTGCAATATTCAGTCAGATCTTCCACATCCCACTCTCAGTATAGAACAGAAAAACAGGGAGATCACAAGGAGGGAATCCATTTCCTCATTTCTACTCTTCCCAACACCAACCGCCTCTCTTGTCCATCCCATCCCTCTCCTGCCCAGCCCGGTGCCGCTGTGCTGCGGGTGTCACAAGAGGTGTTGCATGGGGACAACGGTGGCATTGATTGCAACAGCCCCACGAGGCCCCTCAGCCTCTGCCCCTGCAGCAGGGAGGGACCAGGGCCAGCCCCAGCACCCCCACAGCCATGGGGCACTCCCGGGTTGGCCCAGGCCACTTGTGCCAGCAGCAGCAGCTGGGGCCTGTCCCACCCACCAGCACTGCTATAAACCCAGCGTCTTTGGGGCACTGCAGCATTGCCTGGCCCCAAGGGCATCTGGACACAGCCATTCCTGCTGGCTTTGCTGCTGCCTGAACACCACAGCCTTTGTCAGGGAGGTGAGTGTGGGGTCTCTTTCCTGAATCCTGCCCACTCAGGGTCTCTGCTCAAAGCCCAGCAGAGCAGCATCTCCTAAAGGACAAGCTGCTGGAAGTACCTTGGTGCAAAATTTGGCCATCAGCGATTTTTTTGGGAAAGACGACAAAAGCCTTCATGTGAGTCTAAGAACATGTGGAAGGTGAAAGTGAGGTTTCCTAAGTACAGCACAGTCTGGAAAAGTGCCTTGATGCTGCAGGAGGGACCCAGGAAGTTCTTTGCTGGGGGCATGAGGGCTTCCCCTTGCAAAGTAAGGAGAGTCTTTTCCCACAGCAGTGCAGAGATTTCCCATCATTTCAGGCTTTTAGGAATTTCACACATTGATTTCTGTTCCCATTTCTGGGCACCAAGACACTTCCCTGCCCTCCGGCAGCTCCCTGGGTTGGTGCTGGGGAATGTCCTTGGTGGGAATCCTGCAAATGTCCTGGAGGTAAGGATGAACACTGCCAAGCTGAGCTGCGAGGATTTTCCTGATCCCATGGAAGCAGTCAGGATTGGTCAGGGTGTTTGGGGCATGTGTTTGATTCATGAAGCCTGAGGGAGTATAAGTACTTCAATGACAATGTTTTTCTCTGTTTTTCCCAAATTTCACTCCCTGGTGCTTTTGTTTATTTGGCAACACTTGCCTCTTGGTCTGCAGTCTGTTTTTAGGTGAAGGTCTGTGGAAGACATAATAGACCAGAGAAAATATTTTAAAAGCATCTACTTGTGCAATTGCTTTCCAAGGGAGTGAGGCACTCTAAAATGCTCTAAGGGTTGGCAGGATGCCACAAAGCACAGAGTTCTTTTAAAGAGGAATATACAGGAAACATCATCATCTGTAGTTGGGAAGCAGCCCCTCTGTAGTTTGGTGAACCACAGAGCCCAGGCTCTTGCCCCACCTGGAATCCTGCCTGTCCCCATTGCCTTGATGTCCCCTCTGCAGCCCTCTGAAGTCCTGGGAGAGGCAGCAGCCATGAAGATCTTGTTCCTGCTCTTCCCCCTGATCCTCCTGCTGGTCCAGGGTGCTGCAGGTGAGAAGGGAAAAGGGGAGATGTGGGAAAGTGTGAGCCTGCACCAGGGGGAATTCAGTGTCATTGGAAGTGACTGTGTTTGTGGGAATGATGAGAAGGTATCGGGGTCAGAGGAGTTTCCTGAGTGAGTTTCCAACTGGACACCATTTTGGGATAGAGAGATCCCAGCGAAATAGACAGGGATGTGGGATGTGAGGAGTTCCTGCCTGCCAGCAGGACTGCAAGCACACCCTGCTCCCCTAGATTATTGTTACAATACATGTGTCTGCTTTTCTTCATGGAAACAGGAAATGCAGGTCGATGCAGGTGCCTTGGGGGATTCTGCAGGTTTCTTGGCTGCAGCTCGCCTGCAAAACCTATTGGAAGATGTTCAGCAGTGAGCCTGTGCTGCAAAATGTAAGGATCCAACGCCTGCCTGAAGAAAGAGTTTCCTCCATTTCCCCCAGAGTGATCCATTACAAATATCTTTCTAACACAAAATTACTGGAAGTGGCGTAAAAGAGAATGTACAAGCCTTTAAGTGGTTTGGAGCTACCCTCAGTGAGGCTGCAGGAGACCCAAGTCAGTCAAGGCCACTACATTTACCAAAGCCAAGGACCAAGGACTGAAAAATTCCCTGTCCTTGGGAGCACTGAGGACATGATCCAGGTCTGGTAGCATCTGCACAGAGCTGGAGCCAGGGCTGCCAGCACTGAGATAGCCCAGCTCCAACCTGTCTGCACCAAGGACTGCAGCTCACCTCCCCTGAGCCTGACTCTGCTGCACCTCACTCTGGGCATTGCAGGGCAGGGAAGAGAGTGGCAGGGAAAGTTACACCTGCTGATGTGCTTGTCTGCTTTCTTTTTACAGAAATTGGGTTTGAAATCCTGAAATTCCCAAGCAGGACATGGCCCTCGCTTCTGGATGCTGGACCCATCTGCTGATGTCCCCTGCCATCTGCTGATGTACCCTGCCATTTCCTGATGTCTGCTGCGCTCGCTGCCTGTGCCGTGCCCAGCTGGGCTGACAGCAGCAGTGGCAGCTGCTCCTGCTGGCTGCTGCTGGGCTGGAGCCCTGTGGTGCCAGCCCCGCTGTCTTTGGGGCAGGGGCTGCTTTTCCTGGCTTGAATAAAGAGCAGCACTTTGGCATTGCAGGGCTGGGCCGTGTGTGCATGTCCTGCTGCTGCAGGGGTGCTGTGCCTGCTGCCCCTGGGGCTGCCACTGCCTTGGTGGCAGCACGAGGCCCTGGGCATGGTGCTGGGGCTGAGCAGCGCCTGTGTCCCTGGGGATGCTCCTGCCTGGCCGTGCTTTGGGCACGCTGAGCCTGGCAGTGCCTGCTGGGCCCGGCTGGGTGGGGTGCCTGTGGTGGGGCTGCCCTGCAGATGCTCCCTCTGGGGAATTGGGATCCCAGCCACAATTCTCAGTTGTTTATAACATTTGGGAGGGATTTGCTGTGAGGGAGGCCTGAGCAGCTGAGGATCCAGTCCAGCAACTCTTGTAGCTCCTGCTGGTCTTTCCCTCTCTCTTTCCCCACATGCACACGCAGCTGTAGAAAAAATGAACTCTGACTGGAGAGTTTAATGTGTGGGGTTTGGTGCTCAGTTCCCATACGAGACTGGGACTCAGAGCCAGCAGCAGCTGCTCTGGAACCAGGCACATTTTTGACATCTATGCCACACTATCTTTTACCTCTTTCACTGAGCAGGATCCTCCTTGGGCCCAACAAACAAGGAACAATGTGAGCGAGAAAATGGGTACTGTGGATTTTTGAAGTGCAGGTTCCCCTTTGTCATCAAAGGAAGCTGTTCCAAGTACTTCTATTGCTGCAAAAAGTGAGTTTTGGAATTACAAAATTTGCTGTCATTGCAGAAGGTGTTCAAGGGCTCCTGAGCAGCTAAAGGCTCAGTGCCCTTGAGGACTGAAGGCAGAGCTGAGGGGAGGAAAAGGAAGGTGCTTGGAGCTGCCCTGAGTGGGGCTGCAGCATGCCAGGTCAGCCAGAGCCTCCCCACTGACCAAAGCAACCAAAGAGGAAAAATTCCCTGTCCTTGGGGCAGCACTGAGGACATGATCCAGGTCTGGCTGCATCTGCACAGAGCTGGAGCCAGGGCTGCCAGCACTGAGATAGCCCAGCTCCAACCTGTCTGCACCAAGGACTG